GATATTCCAAACATAATACATTGTCAGGACAAAGAAATATTCAAACATTTAGCCACTGAACATTTACGCATTAGTACAAACTTTCTTATGTTAAATTATGCCTCAATTGTGGTCTAGTCGTCTGTGCTCATTAAACATCTGCTGTTAATGTTTTTTTCTGATCATTTAGCGTTATCGTTATGTTAACGTTCTGGTTGAGACTTAGACATTTCAGAAATGATAAAAATGATGATGATGAGATTTTTGTTCCCAATAGAAGTGTTGCGAAAGTATTGAAAAGAAACGGGCATTTAATAAAGATCGTTCAATCTTTGTCTGAAGAACATGTTTTAAAGTAAATTGTACGACAATGCCTGTTCATCGTCACGCCTATTCATTATTACACCTTGTTATAAGGTAACATAATAACTCACCATCACGCCTCTTTTCTCACATTACTTTTTTCTACATATGAGCCACGTCACGACAAAACCAACATAGTGGGTTTGCGATCAGCATGGATCCAGACCAGCCTGCGCATCCGCGCAGTCTGATCAGGATCCATGCTGTTCGCTATCAGTTTCTCTATACTTGTAATAGAGTTGGTAAGCGAACAGCATGGATCCTGATCAGACTGCGCGGATGCGCAGGCTGATCTGGATCCATGCTGGTCGCAAACGCACAATGTCGGTTTTGCCGTGACGCGGCTCATATATTACATTTGAGGATATCAGGCCACATCTAAATAATCATTATTTCTCATGATTTCTCCTTTTTTTTCTTACTATACGCTTATTATATGCGATTACACTTTCTGTAATTACCATTTTTCTCTTTACTCATTACCCCTTATAAATCACACATTTTGCCTCATTATTCACGTTTACAATATTTTCTCAATAAAAAACACCAAAGTAACGTTAGTTGCCATTTTGCATAATATTCACTATTATGTCTCCTTAATTTACCCCATTATTCCACATTTTTTCCTTATTTGTATACCATCATGCCTCATTATTCGTTCTTACGCCTCTTTATTCTATAAACGCATCATTATTAACTATAACGACGTTTCAATATTCCCATTACGCCTCATTATTCGCCATAATGTCTCATCATCCACAAGTACGCATCATTTATTTACGCTTTAAGTGTCTTAACTCCTGATTCGCTATTGTAACTCTTACTCACAATAAAACTTATATTATACCATTGTGTCTTATCAATATAATGCCTTAATATTATCACACCTAAAACTTATCAGTGTCACCTCATTATTAAACCTATCATCAAACATTTTGCTATTTCCTAATTCGCTAGGCTCAAACGTAAATAAAATTTATACCCCATAATAAAGGCAATCGAAGGAAGAAAGAACAACACGTACATAAATTCACATTTAGGATTTGTTATCTACAATGCCGTATATATACATTACTAATACATGATCTTAGAAACAGCATACATGACATAAACATCTCAACGTTTCATAAATCGGTGTAATCTGAAATGACTTTCTTGACAATAATCTCATATCTTAATTATGAACAACAATATGGAAAACACACAGTTATGAACGTACTTTCCCTGTCAGTATGCTGCGAGTCGGCTGCGCAACCCTACTCCATCGTGGGAGGGGGACATAGAAGGAAACCAAAACTCAAGACCAGCCACCTTCCGTAAGTGTTCTGACATAATGTAATGAGAAAACCCATAAGAATACTATGTAAAATGTAATTAAAAGCCGAATATGTAAGCTCAATAACTGCACACCTTCCATCAATAAGTTCAGAACATTTACAAAAACGTATAAAATATGGAATCTCTTCTTATATACAGAATATAAAAATTGAAATCAGAAAAGTTCAAGGTATCTTATTTCACTAACTAAAGAATCGTTCTCCAAAATAACGAACATACTGGAAAAGTAGTGCATCTTATTCTTGGAACAAAATCTGAAAAATATAAACTAAATTAATTAACAATATTTTAGTTTAATTCAAACGTAACCAAAACGTAAAAAACTTGACTGAATTAATAAAAAAATGCATCTTTATAATATCATTTACCATTAATACATTTTGTATTTATTAGTCAATTATATACAATGTACCTTGCAAAATTATTCTGCAGTTGTAAGAATAAGCTTCACAATACATATTACATAGAGGATATTTGTTTAGTTCAGTGTAAGATCGGAATATATTTCACCGAGTGAGCACCAAAAGGTATATTTCACGAGTGGCGCAGCCACGAGTGAAATATGAACTTTTGGTGTTCACAAGGTGAAATATATTTCAATCTTACACTAAACTAAACAAATTTTCTTTTTATTACATGCAAAGAAACGTTTTAAAAAGACAATAAATCTAATAATTAATGAAAAGCGCGCCAAATAATAATGCAACGTGACGTCATTTACGACGTCACGTCATTAAGTTGGTACCCAGTACTGTGCACGCTGCTATTTCACTGAAACAACGTAAGGGGCTTAAATTCAAAACAGTGAAATTATCAAAGTGGTAATTTCACTGTTTCAAACAGTGAAATTACCCGTTTTATATCACTGATATATTTCTATAAACCACCGAAAAGCATGTAATAAGCCTCATTATTTGTCATTCCCCTTCATAACTCATTATTACTCCCTTTTATCCATATTACGCCACTTCATTCCTTTTACGCCTATTTATTTACCATTACGCTTCATTATACAAATTATGCTTCATTATTTGTCATTCCTCTTCTTAATTCATTATTACTCCCTTTTATCCATATTACGCCACTTCATTCCTTTTACGCCTATTTATTTACCATTACGCTTCATTATACATATTATGCCTCATTATTTGTCATTCCCCTTCCATTTATTAACCATTACGCTTCATTATACATATTATGCCTCATTATTTGTCATTCCCCTTCTTAACTCATTATTACTCCCTTTTATCCATATTACGCTACTTTATTCCTTTTACGCCTATTTATTTCCCATTACGCTTCATTATACATATTATGCTTCATTATTTGTCATTCCCCTTCTTAACTCATTATTACTCCCTTTTATCCATATTACGCTACTTTATTCCTTTTACGCCTATTTATTTACCATTACGCTTCATTTTACATATTATGCCTCATTATTTGTCATTCCTCTTCTTTACTCATTATTACTCCCTTTTATCCATGTTACACTACTTTATTCCTTTTACGCCTATTTATTTACCATTACGCTTCATTATACATATTATGCTTCATTATTTGTCATTCCTCTTCTTAACTCATTATTACTCCCTTTTATCCATGTTACGCTACTTTATTCCTTTTACGCCTATTTATTTACCATTACGCTTCATTTTACATATTATGCTTCATTATTTGTCATTCCCCTTCTTAACTCATCATTACTCCCTTTTATCCATATTACGCTACTTTATTCCTTTTACGCCTATTTATTTACCATTACGCTTCATTATACATATTATGCTTCATTATTTGTCATTCCCCTTCTTAACTCATTATTACTCCCTTTTATCCATGTTACACTACTTTATTCCTTTTACGCCTATTTATTTACCATTACGCTTCATTTTACATATTATGCTTCATTATTTGTCATTCCCCTTCTTAACTCATCATTACTCCCTTTTATCCATATTACGCTACTTTATTCCTTTTACGCCTATTTATTTACCATTACGCTTTATTATACAAATTATGCCTCATTATTTGTCATTCCCCTTCTTAACTCATCATTACTCCCTTTTATCCATGTTACACTACTTTATTCCTTTTACGCCTATTTATTTACCATTACGCTTCATTTTACATATTATGCTTCATTATTTGTCATTCCCCTTCTTAACTCATCATTACTCCCTTTTATCCATATTACGCTACTTTATTCCTTTTACGCCTATTTATTTACCATTACGCTTCATTATACAAATTATGCCTCATTATTAGTCATTCCTCTTCTTAACTCATTATTACTCCATTTTTATCCATATTACGCTAATTTATTCCTTTTACGCCTAATTATTTACTATTACACTAATTTTTTTTATAGTACGCCTCATTATTTGTCATATCCTTTCATAACTCATTTATGAATATTACAATTTTTTTAACATTATAATACTCATGTTTGCCCTATCTGATGAGAGAAAACTGTTTTAATTTCTGAGGCATAATGTGCCTTTAAATACTTTTTCAAAATTTTCATGAAAGTTAGCATGAATCTGAGGGCCTCCTGCTATTGTGATCATCATAAGTATGGTAAATTTGAAACCTCCAAGTTTTTATTAATGTTTGTGTTTTCCGAGATTATCAAAGAATACTAAATGTTAAGGACCAAAATGGATAAACTTGTCTTCCTGATGTCATCTGTTTTATCTACCTATACCCTATGTAGCTTATTAACATCTTTATTTGAAATTACGTCTCTTTTTCACACAATATGCTATAAACCTCCCTGGTCTTAGTGAACCCTATCGAGCTCATTACGCCTTTTTCTAACTAACCACCTTACCGAGGAAAATGCATAATAGTGAGACGTAACGAGCAATATTATGAGTAATGATGTGGCGTTACCTATAACTTGTAATTGTATCTCACCGTCTTTAGGTATTGTCATCATTACGCTTCATTACTTTACTTTGACATAATGGTTTAATATTTCTTTACCATAACAATTTAACAATGTTTGTAAATCAAAACATTCATTATACCCTATTTGAAATAAGTTTTAGGCATTCTGTATTAAGTCTTTAATAGTCGGATATTGTCGAGGAGAAAATGCTATAAAACGCAGAGTTAGAGCGCTAAAAATAAAGAAAGTCATTGAAGTATTGATAATTAGACGTAATAATTATGTGGCGATAATAGGGAGGCAAAAAGAGTTGAAATTTCAACGAGACAAAGTCTGTTTACGGAAACATTTCGTAGTCACATGACAAATACATGGATTCTGGCTTAGAAAATACTTAATGTGAGAAATATTACTACAACATGAATTCCTTATTTGTTAACCGAAGATAAAAAAGCAAAGAGCCAAAACTGCTAAGAAAATGTTCAAAATGATTCTGGATTACAAAAAGTACTGATGCTGTTTACCTGAATTCACTACTTCGACAGGGTCTTCAAAATAAAATCAGGTTAACCAAAAGTATATTCAACAAAGTCAATTATATTAATCATTTTATTTATACATGTATTAGGGAAATACATTAAGGTAATTTGATTTTTTCTCGCGCTCTGATTCCAATGTCCACAGTGAGCGTCCCATAAGTGACGGTGAGCCGTGACAAATTTGCGTGCACATGTCGCTAGTGTCCGTAGTCTTACAGAACGTGGAGTTACAGAAAATATACACGCTGTTATGAGTCTGGGGGAATTCAAATGCACTGAAGACAAACCGGGTCTCGTGTGTTCCTTGTGAAAAAATATGAGTTTCGGGATCTACCACACATCTGAAAAAAATGAAAATGTTCTTAAAAACAGATATAATAAGAAACGGATAATGTCCATAAAGAATGCAGTTAAACCTGTGAACACAAGAACTGTAGAGGAAAAACCAAACACGGCCACTATACACAGGTTGTCTTTATTTGGAGGTACTTTTGTTCTATCTAATCAATGAAGGTTTGCGAAGGGTGGCTTTTATTTACAGGGTGGTCTTTATTTGGATGTCACTTTTGCACTTTGAACGTTTGTCAAAGAGTGGTCTTTATCAAAAGAGTGGTCCTTATTTGAAAGGTGTTCTTAAACACATGTTCGGGTGAATGTGATTTATCATATCAACTAAAAAAGCAAATAAAAAGCGAAGCATGTCTTGAAAAATTGTGTTTGTTCATGCATGAAACTGTTTATATCACAAATAATATAATATTAAAGGTACTCCACTGAGGTACGGCCGAATGTCACAAAAGAAAGTAAAATTTCACGAACAGATAATTTTTTGTTACCTGCGTGTTGGGGATATTCAAACAGAATCAGTGATACATTGATATGTGTTCTTTGGATTGGCAAGTCGTTCGAAATACATATTTTCTCCAATTTTGTGGGAAAAGCGTTTAAACACCTTTCAGTTTGCAAATCTGAATAAAAATAATGGTCACGTGATGATTCTCGGGATGACTAAAAAGCGAAACGGAGAATTTTTTGTGTATCGGCACCAACGAAAGTGCGAAAGTGGAATATACCAACAATCCATAAATTTAAAAGCAAATTATGGGTTTGTTTGTTAAATTTTTTGTTGTTCACATATGTTCTTGTAAGAAAAATCTTTCAAAAGCAATTTCAATATATTTAAAGCATTAAATTGTTGTAATCATGTTTTTTTCTCCATTACAATGATGTATTTAGCTAAACGTGCGGAGTTGGAAACTGACATACACAAATTTTACAAATATTCTATGTTAATTTGAGAGCTTTCGTGTAATTATTATTAACTTTGTAATGGTTAAAATATCATGATATCTAGACTAAGAAAATTTACTTTGTCAATCAGTGTAATGGGTCCTATTTCAAAGGTCACTTTGGTTTATCTGACACCCGTTCAGGAAAGAAAACTTCGTAATACCTTTTATACAACGAACATGAACTTGAGTATTGTAAGCATAAAAAATCACACGCACACACAGAATGTTATTCCAGAGATTTCTCTTTAACTCTGATCAAAGCACTGAAAGCACTGGCTAAATAGAGAATGAATCCGGCCTCATTATAGGACATTTAGGCTTCAACTTTATTAGTTAATATTTCTTATGTATGTCTAGTGCATATAATTAAAATTCTATAAGAAAAAATCGATCTCCTTTGCTAGATCTGAAATTTAATAATTATCATTTTACATACATACTTGCTAATTATCCGCATTGGATGTAAACTTTGTTGATGAGAAGATTACTACGTTTTGATCTAGACATTCAAAACTATAGGTAAGTGATACCTGTTTCATGCACATGGTAAACATTATCAAGAAGGTCGGAAAAGAGTTACAGTCTGGCTCTATTAATATTATTATTATCATTATTGATTTAGCAGATATCCTGATAAATTTCTTTCTTATTGGAAGGCCTCCGTACTAGTGATGGGTCAATTGAGCTGTGCTTTAATGTTACCAATATATTGAAGCTTCCCGGTGGAAAAGAAATTGAGAGCGTTATGAGAGTAAAAAAGGAAAACTGGAATAAAGACAATCAAGGCAACAGCAACGTTCACAGGACGCAGCCCCCGACACAGTCAAGCTTCCACAGCAGGGTTATTGCCTTGACTAGTGAAATAAACTTAAAACTGATTATATAGTTGTTGTTCTTTAAACCCTAACTTTCTTTCAAATTAAACGAAACAAACAAAATCATGATACTTGCAAGACAAATGTGAAGGGCAGGTAAGTAAAATTAACTTTAAGAATTCAGTAAGATATTATTAACCTCACCTCATACAACAACCATTGCTTAAATTATGTTTTATAATACTTCCAACTCCTAGACGGTATACAAACTTGGGAAAGGGCAATGCATATCTTAACCATTATTTTTACTCCCTATAGCCTGTATATCATGGCATACTAGTACTCATTGTTAATAGTTTTGTAAATATTTTGATAAAAAAGGTCAGGTTCATTTCCCGACTATTTTGAAAACACGAGTGACTGGTTTCAAAAACTGCAATGGCTAAATATTCATCGAATGCATTTCATTGCATAAATAAGTTAGGAAGAGAACCCTGCTTTTCTTGCTTTATAGCACTAAAACCTTTACTTTTCTCTACTTTTGTCTCTTCTTTCTTCCTGTTTTTTCATATTTTTTTTTGTTTAGTCTTTTTATTTACCACTTGAAATCCTGAAATTAAATTTTTCATTGATAATTTAGCTGTGGTCCTGTGTTGCTTGGTCGTGTGGGTGTTGCATTCATTGAATGTTACCATTCTTTTTTGTATTTCTGATCGAAGATCAGGAAATACAAAGCTAACATTCAATCTCTGACACAACGGTTTCACGACAAACCTAACAACAAGCAGTTCTTAAAACAGCTGAAAACTAGCGATTTAAAAGAAAGAAATATTTTCATTTTGTTATAAGTATCCAACAAATTACAACGAACTCAAAGTTTAAAAGAAGCTTTGGGTTATAGAATTGTCAATGAATGCACATTCACAAATTACGCGGATGAATATCATTTTAATCAATGAAAATGCTATTTTAAGCGATGTCGAGAGCGTATTTCACAAATAAATCTGACTGTCGAGTAGTTGAATATATACATGACTGTTTTGGCGAGAAGATTTTTGTTAAATTATTTATATCAAAGTTAAACAACAGGTTTACCTTGTACAAAAAACCTCGAAATTAACCCGAAATGCAATGGAAAATCTAAATTTAGTATTACTTGATTTTATTCAGGCATTGTTCGTATATCTTCTCCGTGGTGCAAGGGTAACGCGCTCGTTTAGTGTGTCTGGGTTCAAATCCAATTCAAGGCAATTATTTTTTATAAAGTTTCTTTGTTAAGGAAATAGCCACGATATGCAAGGATAAAGTGTGGCTGTCATAAAAATGAACATAAATGATTTTTTGATGCAACTCTAGTCATGCAAAATTCCATATGTATCAAACTCTGGTACCAAGCAAGATCGAAGACTTATAGTACATAAAAATAAACTTATACAGGAAAATAATACAGTTATACAGTGCGATTTAGATTGCATTCATATTTTAGATTGCAAAGATCAGAAAATACCACAGAGCTTGCAGCCTTTTAATTTATCTTGTTTTTCGTATGTATGTTCTGGAGATTAGGTGGGTGGTTCTCGTAATACTTTAAGATTTATTAGATTGTGTATTAAAAGCCTTTGTAAATTGTTTCGGAAATACTGGATATCGTTTTGAAAATTTATAGAGCTACTTAAGTATTTTAAACACATGAACGAAAAATTTCATAGTAACAGGAATTAAAATTAATTCCTAAGTATTTCGGTTATAGTGATTATACCGTAATCAAACGTTAAAGCTCTCCTAATAAACGTTCTTTGGAATTAAATACTAAGTGTAAGCACTAGAACATAAACCACCAGATTGCTTGCCAAATTTTTATCGGCAGGATATATTGGTTCACAAAACATGATTTTTCACAGTCATGATCAAATGAACAGACTGTCATTTTCTTCCTGTTACCGAAAAATACACACCAGGAAGATTTCAAGTAGAAGACACGTCACTGACAGAATGTTCTTAATATTTGAATAGAAAAGAATTTGCTTAAGCCAATTTATGAAAGAGAAATAGGGGATGCTACTTATTAAATTATTTGCCCACAAAAGAGGGTCTATTTTACTCGTTTAGATTATTTTCAAAAACAAAAGTCTCAAAAAGCAAAGGTTAGCTGATATTAAGATGTAAACCGCGACATATAAAATTAATTTACCTGTGAAACTGGAGTGAAAATGTGTTAGTTTATCCGGTTTTTCTTCAGTGCCTTCAGCACTTTGATCTTATCTGTAGTACAAGTAAACTATATCGTTTTTACCGAAAAATCATTAAATTCTAAACAAGTTTCTAATAGAATCATAAACATTTATTGTATCATAGTTTGAAGACTTTTCTGTTGAAAACGTGTCAGAGTTAGATCGAATTCATATACATGCACAGTGCGTAACTGGAGTGAAGGTAATAGTTCCCAACACTCCAGAGCATGCCCATTGATGTACTCATTCTTTTTCCTTTTTTTTTTTTTTTGGGGGGGGGGGGTGCTTTTTGTGGAATAACGATAGAAATGCCACATTCAGAAGCTGGTTCATAGGTTTTTTTCTGGGGTTTCATATTGTTACAACATTGGTAAACTATCATTTTTAGTTTTTTAGCATATGATTCGTTTTTATAAATATATCTTAAAAGGTCTATTTTATGCATGTGATGTATATATATCATGTCTAATCATTTTTTATTGTAGCTGTTTTATCTTTGTTGATCTTATACTTTATGTTATTTACAGTCGGTTATAAAAGCTCCTAGAGCTTATGTTGTAATGTTGAAAACTTGCCGACTTGAAATAAAACTTATCTTATCTTATCTTAACAGGGAACGCGCATTTAATTTTGCCTATGGTATGAATAATATGATGTAATTGTGTGTGGAACGTGTATGTACGATCCTATCAAGATAGCCTACGAAACGTCACTCATTATATACACAGATGCCCGTTTGTGCAAGAAACAATTTTGCAAAGGGGGCACCTGAGTTCTTACTCCACCAGTAAAACTGAAGAGTCGCCAAAATGACCTACACAGTTTTATGTGACGTAACCCCCACTCCATCCCAAAAACAAACAATCAAATCAAATGAGACATGTCATTAACTGTATTTGATTTATATACGTTATAGATAGCGTTAAATACTTTTATTAGTGTGATTACACTGTGCTCGTTATAGTATAAATATCACCGATGCATTGTGTTTGCCTTAGAATATTGAAATTGAAACTGAAATGTCAATGAAAATAATTGTACATGTATATAATATCTTTCCGTTTTGTCTAGAAAATGTCCGCTTCGCTGGCGTTTGATTTTTCAAGACAACGAAATTGCTACCTTGATTATCTTTTATACAGTTTTTCTTCGTTATACTCAAGTTATATAAACATGATAGGTTAGAGTGTTGAGAAAAAAATCAATAGACTTTTTTACCCCCGTTTACTCTGTTGTTCCAAAAATGTCCGTTGCGTATTTTAGTTATACCCGATGAATTGTGGGTAACTTCTGTACATGCCTGGGAAAACCAACTTTCATTTTTGCATCAAAAGCTAATGTGTAAATGCATTTTCTAGCATAATTGTTGTTAGAGGGTTAGTTAAAGTGTAAGTTATTGATATTTTAGTCATAATATTGTGATTTGTGAGGAAATTTGTTTACATTTTTTTTTTGGACACCAAATTACCTGTCAGACCTCAGTGTAGCCCCTTTAAAGAAAAATGCGCCGAAAGCAACGACATTTTTTGACGTCATTTATAGCTGAATGACGTTTACTCCATCCAAAAAGGGCTCTTTTTGCGTGGCCGGTCACATGAATAATTCAAAAAGTAATCAGACAACCTTTTTATGAAGAAGCGTACCATCATTAAGATTAAAATTTGTAGAATTTCACAGGTCTTACCCGTTTTGTATTAAAGGATATGTTACTCTTGCATCCGCATTATGATCAGGTTTTGTGTAACATATATGGAGACGCATCTTCACATACACATCATCAGAGTTTATTGTAACCGCAACATACACATTGTCGCCTGTATAAAACAAAGAACTCAGATACTCACTTGTATATTACAAGTAAAACAAAGAAATATGAGCCGCGTCATGACAAAACCAACATAGTGGGTTTGCGACCAGCATGGATCCAGACCAGCCTGCGCATCCGAGCAGTCTGATTAGGATCCATGTTCGCTTACAAACCTTATAACAAGTAGAGAAACTGATTGCGAACAGCATGGATCCTGATCAGACTGCACGGATGCGCAGGCTGGTCTGGATCCATGCTGGTCGCAAACGCATTACGTTGGTTTTGTCATGACGCGGCTCATTTATCAATAAAAAAGGGGAAACATAAATGCATTAAGTCCTTCGTGATGTAATGAACTTTGATTCTGTACTCTCTAAGGTATTATTTTCAATTAAACTAGATGTATTTTAGAAATAATTGCACCTTAATTGTATCATGAATAGTTAACATTTTAATTTTTAATAAGAATCCGCGCCTACTTTAAATGCAATTTATATGAATATTCTACCGACGGAAAAGCAAGCACTGTTTTTATATTAATGTGTTACTCATACAGTATTTTTCATCCAGAATGCTTTTCAATTTTCAGGGTATACAAGCTGATGATTCTAAAACAAGATTCGTACTTCATCAATAACTTAAATAAAGTTTAAATCAAACAAGCCAACGCAAAGAACTATATTTTATACGAGGCAATGCAAAATTAGAGCAGTATGTGCACTTCAGTCACTCAACAATATATTGTACAGTTGCTTTATGTTTATTTCTATCTTGTAATCAATGGGCTTCCACATGTGCAACAAAATTGCACAGTTAAATGAGGTTTCTATACATATTCGGTGTCCTTTCAGAATTATACGAATTTGTCACATTGATTTTTAATTGCCACATTTTTGGACGTTATCTCAAGAATTTGCTTCCGATATTTTTATGTTGAATTTTACTATATATTGCTTATACTGACGTCATAAACAATTGTCGTTGTCATTCCTGTCGTGTCTACGTGACCCTCAATATTTACATTTTACTAGGAGTCAATTAGTCAATACTGATATACTGGTATGCGTATTTCTGTTTTAAGCGATTTGAAAGTATCGTGTAATTTAACATAATTAATGAGCCGCGTCATGACAAAACCAACATAATGAGTTTGCGATCAGCATGGATCCAGACCAGCCTGCGCATCCGCGCCGTCTGATCAGGATACATGCTGTTCGCTTACAAACCCTATTACAAGTGGAGAAACTGATAGCGAACAGCATGGATCCTAATCAGACTGCGCGGATGCGCAGACTTGTCTGGATCCATGCTGGTCGCAAACCCATTATGTTGGTTCTGTCATGACACGGCTCGTATATGCATCTTTAAGGTTGATGTGGTTTTACATCAACCTTTTGATTTTCCGATTTTCATGAATCCTAATTTTAGAATGATATTCACAGATCTATATTTTTAAAATTGGCAAAGAAATTTTGGATTTGGGTCAATATATATGATCGTCTTGACCCTGTAAAGTAAGTTTGCTTTCTTCTTTTGTGGTTTGTAACATCATTAATAATAGTACATAGATATGTATGAGTATTATATTTGAATGTCATAAAAGACATAATATACGACTGATTGAGACAGAACAATGAGTTCAAATATAAAGACATTAATTTGCTTATCTATAAAATATTTCAAGAGCGCAAGTATTTGTATAATTTGCCTCATTTTTTTCGCTGCAATTTGGTAAAACTTTTATTTTGACGGAGAAATGATTTCAAATATAAAGAAAATTATTCGCAAATCTATTAGATGTTTCTCAAGTGTGCAAATATCTTCATGATTGTTTAATTTCTATGCGGGTTTTACAAAATATATATGTGTACCATACACAGATAATGGTTAATGCAATGAAGCATTGCAATTGTGTTCAATGTTAACGGGTCACATGTTAGAAAGAAAGCGACTTATTGTTATGAGATTAAATTAGTATATAATGGGACGGATAATCCGACGATTGTGTAGGAGGTATACAGGTAATGCACGATGTAAAGTAATCTAGTATATATGCGTAATGAGCTAATAAAGAGAGTAATAATCTGAATGAGGCGTAATGGTGATATACTGATTATGTAACGTTATGAGCTTTATAAGGCGTAATGAGGTACATAAGGCGTAATGAGCAAAAAAGATGCTTAGCAAGCTTGTTAAGGTGTATGGATCTGGAAATATATAGGCGTAATAAGCTAGATTCATAGGGTACCATATCAGAAAGTTTTGAGTTAAATATATGCATTTATCTCCCAATAACAACGTCTGACCCCTATCGGGAAGATATACATTTTCATTAATGACCGACAAGAATCATAAAGAGAGTCGGGAACATGTTTTTTTATGTATATTTTAGGTGGAACTAGAGTGTGATGTAGCTCGGACAGATACTCTTAGCAACAGTTTCCATCCCAACCGAACAGTTGTACATCATATTCCTCATATCACCAGCAACACCCACTACACGTCACAAGTTAAATTATTTGCAGATGGTACTTTCTTTAAAGAAATAAGTGGAAATCCCCTTTCGCTAAAAACTGGTACGTTTCGCTCTTTGTATTATTAACATTGTCGACAATTACTCAACTATACGCAAGAGTGCTATCTGAATAATAATGTTACAGTTGTAACAAATGATTTTGTTGTGTGTTTATTTTGTTTTCGTGGTAATCTCTTTGATTAAGCTGTTGGGTTTGCTAACTTCGAACCACTTGCCCCTCACCATTGTGGGTTCGAAACCCGTCATGGACAGCCTTTTTATATACGGCCATATAACCTGTCGTCAACCATCTTTATAACGAATTTATAATACAGCAAGCATCATTTTTAGAGAAAAAAGTAAGATTTCTTCATGAATCGACAGCAGCCGTGTATACAAAACTATGTAAACGTCATGATTATCCAATGAAAAATGACGTTACAAACGTGCAGTATTATAAAGTTTTATATACAAGGCTGCTGTCGATATCATGAAGAATCAAGTTATATTTACAAATAGCCGTTTATATATGGTCATATAACCTGTCAACAATCTTTATAACTAATAATATACTTGTAAATACTTGTATTTAAAAATACTCTCTTTAATTCAAACGAAATCAGTTCATAATTTCTGTCGCAGTTGTTTTTTAAATAAAATATCCATTAAATAGGCATAATTTATATAGGGATTTTTAATCCAATTTTACTATTAGAAAAAAATGGCACATTTAGTACTTAGTCCTGGGGTAGCAATGTCTGGCTATACATCTTACTACCACATCCATTCTCTTTTATTTAGGTCATTAACATTATTAAATCCATATTCCATGCATAATAAAAAACTATAGTAGAGACTCTGCACAAAAGCTAGTTTGGGAGACAAAGATTTTGGTTGCTGCCGTAGTGAGGGTGTATTAATGAGACGTATAACAGACGTGTTCTAGTAAAACAAATGAGCCGCGTCACGACAAAACCAACATAATGGGTTTGCGACCAGCATGGATCCAGACCAGCTGCGCATCCGCGCAGTCTGATCAACATCCATGTTGTTCGCTTACAGACCCTATAACAAGTAGAGAAACTGAAAGCGAACAGCATGGATCCATGCTGGTCGCAAACGTACTATGTTGGTTTTGTCGTGACGCGGCACAAATCAAATGCAATGTAACACGATATTGAGTGTAGTATAATAATTTTAAGCTTTATCTTTACGACTAATTTTACTGCCTAAATGAGGTGAAACACGTTGATGAGGCGTAATGATGCAGCGTAATGCGGTGGATGATGTTTAAGTGTATTACTAGTATTTAGGAGACAGAATAATTTTGATGCGAAAAGGGGTAATAATGACGGGAATGAATACTGAGTTGAAATGTGTAAAAAGAAAGAGGCGTAATGAGCTACTTGATGTGAATTAGTCAGAAAATATGTAATATGCACACACAATGACATTGACCTATTCGCAATGACATTGATCTATTCGCAATGACATTGACCTATTCCGATGGTCATGCTCACAGGCGTTAGTTACATAATCAAATATTTTACATAATCGGCCGATATGATATATGTATATTAAGATACTGTATAAGGCCCCCAATGGACTTTCGTTCAGTTAAGAAAAAGAGTTTGTTTAAGGAACGTATGTGGAAATTTTAGCCGTTTTCTGTTTATTTCGTAATTGTGTGTCTATACATGAATAGAATGGACGTCGAAAACGACATGGATTGAAAATATTGGCATTTTGTGAAAGTTTTTTCATTTCTTTAATATTTGAGAGATTTTAATGAAATAAAAAGCTTTAACGCTTGGATGGATCCTTTTAAATGGTGACGAAAAGGAGATAACTGTGATTTGGTCGTTTCTTGCAGCAGTGGTCTTGTTTGTTCGGCTTGATGTTTTTGTTCTGTTAGAGACCGTATATCTTATTATAGAAAAAGTTTGTTTTAAGCCCCTGTGGTCATGATGCATGCGATTGTAACCTGAGTATTCGAAGCAGTTCACATTTCGACATTTGCCCCTGACTGGAAAGACAAGCTTCTGTCTGCTTTGTACAATACCGGTAGTCTGAAATGTAATACAAGATAGAAATTAAAACAATTACAAGTGCAATTATGATCAGACGTAATGCTATGAAGCGATCTTATAATGAGTGAAAGTGATGTTTGTGACGTACTATTAGTGACAAAATAAGCAAAAGATTTGATAGTAAGGAGGAGTAATGATGATGATGAAGCTAAAGATTATGGGATATATAATGCATTTTATGACACGTTTTAAAAAAGACAAAATGAGGTAGGTGATATGTTATAATCTAGTTAAGATAAAGCGCATAGTAATATCAATTTGATAAATTATTTAGCCAAAGTATACATTATCAGTTATTTTACTCAATTTGCTTAAAATACCCTTTTCACTGCGCTTTATTATTACCCCATCTCGCATATTATGTTCTGCTTACGCCTCATTACAACATACTATCTTTATTAAGTGTTTAATAGTTTTAAGACAGAGTGATGTTGATGGTAATTATAAGAAAAATATCATAACATGGCGTTCTGATGAAAAGATGAGATAAATAATTCATAATGGTAATTAGGCGTAATATTGACATTGCGTTACGAAAAGGTGTAATGGTAATAAGGCGTAATGGTGACATGGCGTTATGAAAAGGCGTAATGGTAATTAGGCGTAATGTTGACATGGCGTTATGAAAAGGCGTAATGGTAATTAGGCGTACATGTAATGTTGACAAGGTGTAATAGTAATTAGGCGTAATGTTGACCAGGCGTTATGAAAAGGCGTAATGTTGACATGGCGTTATGAAAAGGCGTATTTTTTTTGTTTTTTTGTTGTTTTTGTTTTGGATTTTACGTCACATCAACACAGTATAGGTCATATCGCGACGTTCAAGCTTAACTGGTGGAGGAAGACCTCACGAGAATGATAGTTAATACAGAAATGAGTTTTGTTCGATTGTTAATCAGTTTATAAACGCACACTTAATCTTGTTCTTGGAACCAACCGGTACCGAGCAATGAGGGTGCAGTTTTATGCTCAAGTAAACAATTGTAGCGCCGATATATGTCCCAACGTCGAAAAATGTCCAAACGACGATAAATGTCCAAAAATTGACGATAAATGTCTCAATCGCCGATAAATGTCCAAAACTCCTTTAACGATAAATGTCCAAAAATTAACGAAAAAGTTCGCAACAAATTAGGTGCTCATAAATGTCCAAATCGGTTAACGATAAATGTCTCAACTTTTCATATGTTAATTGCACCTTTTTCTATGATCAACAGTAATGCATCAGCCAGATATAAAGATTTCCATAGGGATTAAAAGTAACGATTTAAGTAGCGTTCTCACCAGCATCCCGGCAAAGCCCAGGACCACCCCAGACGATCCGGGATGAAAATATTGTTGCAGTCTTAATAACCTCAGTAGCACTACGGCGATACCCAATTCCCATACTTATAACAACCAGGATGAACTCCGGGCCATCCATGCAGAGTCCAGTTGAAACTACGGATAATGCAGATAGTAAGTGGACGACGGATGACCTAACACGATATTCAAACGCTGTTAAGTCTTCAATCAAAGAGACCATAAAAGCTGAGATCCCTGCTAGCACAGCCCCGGATGATGTCGGCAGAGTCCCGGATGATCCCGGCAGAGCCCCGGTACGGTCAGATAGAGTGCCGACATTCACCGGTAGAGCCCCGGCAGAGCCCTTGATCATCCCGGACGTTGCCGACAGAGTTACGGACGTACCCCTGTCGCCCCTGGATCACCCGACCGTTATTTGGATAACAATGACACGGAGAACTTACCAAGTGATATCGATACTGCCAATAATAGTGTTAGCGTTACTGCCAATGACTTGAATAGAGTGTAGGATAAAAGCCCCCCGGACGAAAGCCCCCATCTAAAAATGACAAGGTTGACAAAAGCCCCCCCCCCCCTCCCCATGAAATTTACACATAGGACAAAAGCCCCTCCCCCCATAAAAAAGTAAAGGTAGGACAAAAGCCCCCCCCCCCATCTTTTTTCACACGTACAGGTGCTCAAATTCATCAAATTTCACACAAACTTTTAAATAAAAATGAAAATAATTTGTAATTTGTTTTAATGTTTATTTATAATGTATATATTGAAATGATAACAAAGTATATGATAACAGATGAAATAATGCATGCATGCGATACTGAATTCATAGCTTTTCATATACACAACAAGGGTCAGAAAAGTATTAATGTTTAATCACTTTTGTGAAGGGATCAAATTAATATCCTTAGCACTATGTCACCTACATGTGATGTCCATACATATCTTTCAAACACATAAAAAGCACAACTTTAATACACTATATGTAAATTTGATTGACCATGGGAGGGGGAGGGGGGCTTTTGTCCTACCTTTACTTTTTTATGGGGGAGGGGCTTTTGTCCTATGTGTAAATTTTATGGGGGGGGGGCTTTTGTCCACCTTGTCATTTTTAGACGGGGGGCTTTCCATAGGAACTCGAGAACGGGACCGCAGATTGCGGCGCATATTTTCGATCGTGTAACGGTTTTTAAAAACGTTTCTGCTACGTCTAAATATCTTTTAGTATTATCCGAGAATATGGCCTCAAAAATATGTTATCAATTGAACCCAATCTGTCTCTTCTAAAACTGGTCAAATTTTACGGTATTATAAAAAAGACAAGGAGTGACATCCGCCATTTGCCGCAACGTTTTCGGCATGAGTTTTTCCCCTTTGGCTACAATTGATTACTATTTTATCAGAATTTTGTTCCCGTTATTTTTGTCAACTATCAGGTATCGTCCGGATATAACGTTCACGGTTTATTGTTTACACATGTTGACATGTATAGGCGGCATTATAACGGGCGTATTCGTGTTTTGATTTGTTAACATGGAGAAAACAGACACTTTAGTAATATGGTCCAACTGATTTTGCAAAACTGAAAAAAGGAAAATTAAAACATGATCCATAAATATTTTAGGCCCTCGTCTGGTATTCATTACTAGAAAAATTAAAACAAAAATCAAGCATATCAAGGGGGATAACTTACGCCGAACGTTGCGGTAAATGGCGGATGTCACTCCTTTTCTTTTTTCAATATACCGTAAATTTGACTGATTTTCAAATTAGCAGATTATATTAAATTGAGATTAGATAATTTAAGACCACACGCTCGCATAATATGAAAATATATTCAAAGGCCAGACAAACAATATGTAAAGCCGGTACGGATTCGGATTTATGCGCCGCAATATGCGGTCCTGTTCCAGAGTTCCTATGGGGGCTTTCGTCCGGGGGGGGGCTTTTGCTGAATTCAGTGGCTTAATATTAGAAATCCACAATATTATAATAGAATCTAGATGGGCCAATGCTTGGTTGCACCTTCGGTTATGTACTGATGCCCTTTGTTGGTACGAGATTGCAGATATATGGTACAGAAGACCGTAAGAAATGGCATCAGTACATTACCGAAGTTGCAACCAAGATAACCAAGCGTTACAAGCTTGTACATGTTCACGTGTATTAAAATTACTACATATTAAAATTTTATAGATAGATGATTAAAAATAATTGTAATTTTGCATCCATTAATAATAATTATAATAATTTGATTTTGTTGTTGTTATTTATTTTCTAATGAAGAAATAACGATATGCCTGTCTGTCTGTCTGTCTGTCTGTTTGTCAGGTTTGGTATTATTCTTTTCAAAGAACAATTAATCCATATTAAAAAGGTACCAAATATCAATTTTAAATGATAAATACACCTGCATTTTTAAAACGTAAATATTTAGAGTATTGGAGTTTATATAATTATAAATTAGCGCATTTGACGTAATTTTATATTGTCTTAAGATGTAAAGATCACCTAAATGTTATGAACTGTTACTTCATTACCATCTGATAAGACATCAGTAAAATAAAAATTTCATTTTTATGTGCTGTTACATGAGTGACAGGTACTGTAACAGGAAAGACACTTCTGTTATAGCAGTGACAAAAATAAACATGCATGGTACTTCGTTATTTTACAAAACTTTTATAGAATTCCATTTTATTTTATCTTAAGATACAATGTGATCTGAAATCTATTATGTAGTGTTTGATTATCATCTGACAAGACCGTGGTTAAATAACAATGTCATTTACATCTTGTTACATGAGTGACATTTTAGTTACAGGAAAGACATTTCTGTTACAGCAGTGACAAAAATATGCATGCATGGCACTTCACAATTTCATCAAACTTGTATTAAATTCATTGATACAAGAAGATACTAAATGTAAGACATTCATCATATGTCAAAATCCAAGTGTACTGTCACAGTTATTCTCCCTTAGTTTTATATTGATATGTATTTCTTAAATGCTAATAAATGGTTGAATGTTTGGTTAAATAAGATTGCTGGAGAAAGTTTATGGAGAAAAAACATTCATGAATGTTGAAATGTAGAACTTTGAACACATTACACCAAAACGTATTAAGAATAGGTTAGTGTTTGTTACTCAGCTTTAATAAAAATTACCTTAAGGTTTTACATTGTTTTGATTTGGAACCCTGATTCAACAGGACAGTATTCAATGACAATTTGGTGTGGATTAAATTTACCAAAGATTTTTTTAAAAGATGGAACAATCACAGGACAAAAATACTTTCAACCACTCAATGGTTATCAAAGCCTTCTAAATTTCTATTTTGTTCTTTTTGTTAAAATCATCAACAACCTTAAGATGATTGGACCCACTTATATTCACTGTCTTTCTAATTAAGCAAAAAAATTACCTTTAACAGAGGCATCGATCACTGTTATAAATTGATCACGTTTCTTTGACTGCATTACTACCTGCATTACTACCTTCTTCTGCCTTACTTCTGCCTTACTTCTTTCTGCTGGCTTACTACTTCCTGCTGACTTACATTTTCTTCTGCCTGACCACTTTCTCCTGACTTACTTCTTCTGCCTGACTACTTTATGCTGCCTTATTACTACTTTCTTTTGCCTGACTAATTTCTGATGACTTACTACTTTTTCTGCCGGACTACTTTAAACTAACTTACTATTAATTTTTTTTGCCTTAATACTAAATGTTGACTAACTACTTCCTTTTGCCTGACTTCTTTCTGCTGTCGTACTAATTCTTTCTGCTGCCTTACTACTCCTTTCTGCTGACTTTCTGCTGTAATGGCAACCTTATGCTGTAATAACCTACTTCTTTCTGTTGGCTTACAACAGCTTCAGGTTTTAACTTATCTTCAGACTTACTAATTTCTAACTAATTCCATCTGACTTACCTACTGTCTACCGACTAACTACATTTTTCAGACTCACAGCTTAAACTTCTGACATAAATTTGTTACAACTTTCTGATGACTTACTACTTACTACTGACTCAAGAGTTTCACCTTAATTACAACTACCACTTTACCATAACCTGGGGCGTGGGCAATAGCTTGCACTTTAAAGGACCATGCAGGAACATTTTAATCAAACTGAGCCTGGAAAATCTTCAATTTCGCGGATTTAAATATTCTTAAGCAGTTCTACTTCTCAAGACATCAATTTATACATGTTATACTTAAAGACAATAGTGTAATTGATAAATTAGGTAAACAATCTATATATCTTATACATTATAAAACAAATGTTTTTAAAAATCTGCAAATTTTGAATTACAATCATATATATAAAATTATAATGGCAGAGGATGTAACATTTTCCCCCTAAAAGTATCATTTAGTTTGCAAAATCACTTATTAACAATTTTCTTTGATACCTGAAACGCTTATACTGTAACATATTTGTCACTCGTGTAACAATGTTTAAGTCTAGGAGAAGCAATCTAACAAATATATCTGAAAAATCAATAAATTAGTTCTAAAAACTTTCATTTAGATAGTTTACATACAATGGAAATGATAAATTTTGGCCTCTTCTTATGGTCTCAATCCGGTACGGAATTAGACCCAGCCCGTTGTAGTCTAGAAAGTAGTTCTTTAAAATTTTGAAGTGGCCCAATTTAAGTCATTTCTAGTTAGATTGGTCATAATTAAAGTGTATTTATTGCATGTGTGTAGTTTTTGTGTGTTATATGATGAGTTTAAAAGTTGTTTTTTTGTGTATTCTCCAGGAACTCATTTGTTGGCGGAAGGATTAAAGATGTACCACCCACCAGCAGTCAGGAGTTTTTAAAGTGGTGAATTTAAACTGTGTTACAACAGAATGAAAATTTCTGAAAAAAGGAGATGGCTAACCTATTATATTTTGGGCCTCATTTGACTCAGATAGTGTTGATGTTTAAAGTTGAAGACAGTATATAATTCATCAAGAACCGTGGAATCCAGAATTAAGCCTCAAATGTGACTGATTTACTATAGAACAAAGAATACGAAAATTCACCAGGTCGACACCTTATGATAAGATATCAAAATCATAACAACGCATTTTGTCACTACTGTAACATAAATTATGCAAAATGAGTATCATTTTATATCGTATAATTATAAATAAAAAGTAAACCATTATTTCTAATGTATAATCTGAAAATTTTAATAGGTTTATACAGTAAATTTCAAGGTCTTTTCTACAAATTACACTTTTAAATTAACTGATAATTGTTTTAAATGTATCTACTGTAACTTATTTGGTCACTACTGTTACAAAATTAGCTGTAACAGAAGTGACTGTTACATGAGTGACATATTTAATGTTAATCTCAGTAAAAGTAATAACAATGTATCCCTAATAGATGTGAATCGTTCTTAATGACTTTTACCACATATTTTACAAAATTCTCAGTGGGGCTGTAAATGCAGAGTACTGACAATTAAAGCATACTACCCGTTACAGGAGTGACGGGAATAAAAATTACGCAAGTACTTGCCAACAGAAGTATGCATTTTCAAAAATATACAAACAAGATGATCCCATGTGGCACCTCCTGTGTTACTATTTAGAGACTTCTCTTTATTTTAGAGGCTTTGTTTTATTCTTAATAGCTAGGGATCAGTTATTACTTTTACTGCTCATGAATATGTTACAGGAGTGATATAAACTTTAGGGACAGATTTCAAATTTTAAAATATAATACAAAAACTGTTGTAAATGTGCGTTTAACATCAAAGTTGACTGGCTTAAACATAAGATAATGCGAAAAGGGTATGTTTTTGACAGTTAAATTGTCATGAGATTTGTAATATTTTCACAAATGCTGTTATTTTTGTGTAGGGACAGCACTAATTGGCTCTAATTGGCACTTCTGATAATATTTTTTAAGGGTTTATATAACCGTTAAAAAACTGGAAACTGTTGAAATTATGAGATTTTAGCTAAACATTTCGTGTCCATTTGCATTTTCAGTAAAATCTCTAGTACAAAGTTTTGGCCGTAGGACAGAAAATGTTACGAAAATATAGAATGACTCCAATACATTTTTGTGTTTACAGATCAAAATCGCTGTAATTTTGAAGTGTTGATCTGTATTTTCTCTTATGAATGTTTTGGAACCTAAGGTTTTTTTTTCGGTATAATAAAATAAATAACACATGGCTGTCGGGGTGATAGAGGATAGTGGCAACCCTTGAACTGGCATATTACCCTCGGCTGCGCCTCGGGGTAATATACAACTTCTCGGGTTGACAATATCCTCTATCACCCCGACAGCAATATGTTATTTATATATTATTATACCTCAATATACCCTTCAATGTAAAACTCCCATAGGCCTACAATGTGTTCTGATCGAATATCACCCTCCTAGAATATATTTTCCGGGGAATATTTCTTATATCACCCTGGGGTACATAACCCTTACATAACTCTGTATTGATAAAAACGATACTGCCTTAGTAACCAGTTAACATAATGCAAAAATATAATATTAAATAATATTAAAAAATTATAATATATAATTAACACATGACTGTCGGGGTGATAGAGGATATTGTCAACACGAGAACTGGTATATTACACCGAGGCGCAGCCGAGGGTAATATGCCAGTTCAAGGGTTGGCAATATCCTCTATCACCCCGACAGCCATGTGTTATTTATTTTATTATACCGAAGAAAACCCTTAGGTCAGCAGTCTTTGCCTGAAAGAAAATACAGATCATCACTTCACAATTATAGCGATTTTGATCTGTAAATGTTCGATATACACAAAAATAGTATAATGTATATAGATAAAAACAAGAGACAGACAGACAGACAGACAGACAGACTAGGAAATAAATAATATTATGCTAACTGGGTACTAAAGCATATTCTAGGAGGGTGATATTCGATCAGAACACATCGTAGCCCTATGGGAGTTTTACATTGAAGGATATATTGAGGTATAATAATATAAATGTTTAAATGACACCATCATATAGCAATTATAATGTTACTATTCGAATACTGTGTAATATTTATTTTAATCTGTTGACAAAAACTTTTAACATTTCTTCTCCATTCGACAAACGTTATTTTGAAATTATCACAATTTGTCAATGAATATTTTCATCTTTAAACTGTTTTTACACATATATTAACTTGTTTACACTTGGTTATGTCTTGGTTGCAACTTCGGTAATGTACTGATGCCATTTCTTACGGTCTTCTGTACCATATATCTGCAATCTCGTACCAACAAAGGGCATCAGTAGTACGAATTATGTAATTAGTGTATACTATTTTATTGAACAGGGCTGCGTTTCATGGAGAGTCCTAAGTCTTAAGTTTGTCCTAAGTCAAAAATTGTCACAATTTTGCGTTTCAAAGAAAGTCTTAAAAAAGGTCCTAACTTATGACTCCTAAATTTAGGACCAAAAACAGTCCTAAGTCTAGGAGTGTTTTTAAGGTATCTTTAGATTGTCCTAAGTCAAAATCATTCCGAAATCCAACATGGCAGCGTTCATGATACTGTTTCAAAGAAGGAGGGCCCTGCGCCGGGAGAAAGTTTTCAGGGACAGGTCACAGGCGCTGTACGTCTATACTGACGACGAATTGATTAGCCGTTATAGGTTTCCAGGCAATCGATCTTGGAAATCACCGATTCTGTGAAAGGTGATATTGAGAGGCCATCGTTTAAGGGTCATGCTATTCCTGCACATATTCAGGTAATTAAAACGGTTTCTTTAATATTATCATACTTAATATTTAGCTATTTATAGCCTTTATCAAATTTTGTAAACGTATGAAATGTAAAACTTTAGGTTACCACCGCTCTTCATCGAGGAGAAACGAGCACCTGTTCAAGTTGTTTACAGTGGGCGGGTTACAGTAGCGTTACTGAAGATTATAACTCTATTTAACAATTTAAAATCTTTAAAAAGACTTTAGTTTGTAAAGTTATCTGGATGGTTTATGAACAATATTTTGCCAAGCTTATAAGACAATTAGTGCGGAAGGCGCGTTTCAAAATGGACGACTTGTCAAGATGTTGGAACTGAAAGAAAAACTCACGTTGTGTTTACAGTAATGAACTGATGAAAATATTAAATAAACGCAAAAAAAATGAAACATTATATCAACTTCTGAAAGATGCCTATGGAACTTTTATAGAGGTAAGCTGTATTTGGTTAAACGGTCAAGTCTGCCCTATACTAATTCCCCTCCCTGGCACAAAATCACAATTATTTTTCTCATGACAAGGGATACATCATATAGGGATACAAGGGTTACACAAGGTTAGAGTGGGATACAGTGAATTTCCATCATGTAACAAACATTTTTAAAATTAGATTTTGACTTTTTTGTTATTTATTTCACCTAGAGATACTACCCCTATCAACCATTCCACTCCACCCCCCCCCCCCCTTTCCAATAAAATATATAATTGAGCCGTGTCACGACAAAACCAACATAATGGGTTTGCGACCAGCATAGATCCAGACCAGCCTGCGCATCCGCGCAGTCTGATCAGGATCCATGCTGTTCACTATCAGTTTCTCAACTTGTAAAAGGGTTTGTAAGCGAACAGCATGGATCCTGATCAGACTGCGCTGATGCGCAGGCTGGTCTGGATCCATGCTGGTCGCAAACCCATTATGTTGGTTATGTCGTGACACGGCTCATATATTTATCTGTCTATATCAACAGCTGGATAAAGCCTTGCCAGATAAACTTATCTATCTCCAGTCATTACATCATATGATGACGTCACATATTTAGAAGCAAAACAAAGCTGCATATAGATGCTATTTTATCGGGGAAAAAGAAGAATGAAACCATTTAATTATTCTAAAAACATGATAAAAAGCAGGATAAAACAAATACGCTAAAGCTCGCCAAGATACACTTTCTCGCTCACCAGATAAATCTTCTCCATCCCGACATCAACCATGTATTTTCTACATTTTCATTTATTATTGTAAAGGTTGTGTTTCGTTTTCATTAAACAATAATATTTTAATGAATTTCCTTGGTAGATCTATTCTATTAATGATATATGATTTATTAAATTGTGAAAAATGTCATGATAAAATCATCAATTTTGTTACTAAAGTTTAGTTACAGTTCCGGAATATGCCTGATTTTTTTTCTTTGTTCTGTTGTTGTTGTCAACAACCACAAAAAAACTTGATCCATCAGTTGTTGTTTTTTCGTCAACAATAAATTCATGTTTTTCCTGTGATAAAGTATTAAATTTACTTCAACTTTCGCAAGCGGTAATATTTTATGTCAATTACATCAAGAGGGCAATATCTAGCTGATTTTTGATACTTGTTTAATGCTATAATCAATTTCATAGTAAATCCAGTCTCATTGACCCCTCAATAATCATGTCAATACACACATCTATTATTAAACAAATAAAACATGGCCTTGAGGGCAATATGCAATTTTATCACATAATACGCGGCGCAGGAGTGTTATAAAGCCATTTAATAAAAATGATATTACACTAGTGTAATAACACTTTGACGTGACGTCATTTGCGCTATATATAAACATAGTGTTAAAGCGCGCTAATGTTAGCCTTACACTATAGGCGCGTCATTGAAAAATTACTCATTTTAACAGTTTACTGTTCTTATTTCTATATGTGATAAATAGAATATTATATTTGTGTAGATTCAATACTAAATTTATTAAACTCGTTGAATAAAACAATATAATGCTCGCCAGAGGCTCGCATAATATGATTTTATTCAACTTGTTTAATAAATTTAGTATTAAACTACACTCATTCAATATCCTCTATTTACGGACTGATTGGTCAGACTGAGGAAGGTATATGGCCCAACGCACAGTTTTGACACTTGGTTAATGGTATAATCTTCTTTTGGTGTTTATTTTTTGTTAATCAAATAAGACAGGCAACACTCCCCCCACCCACCCCCTTCCCCAATCTTTAATATTTTCAAAAACTGTATAAATAAAATTTATTATCAATATAAAGTCAAATCCTGACTTTTAATCAACATGTTATAAATTTATGTGAAACAAAACAATAAATTCAGTAAAAAGAATCATTTACTTCAAAATAAAATATTATACCTCTTCTGGATACGCCCTTGTATATTTAATATGATGTCATCATAGAAGGGCATATGCAAATGATGTTTAATATTTATATATGTAAATTTTTTATTTAATGGTAATATTTTGATGAAACATTTTAATGTAAGTGACTGTATGTGTTATAAGCTCAGTTTGCTACTTTTAAGCCATAACATCTTGGCTTCTTGTCCTAAGATGAAAGTGTTGATTTGCCTCACAAGCATTGTACTGCTGTGTTTTGCAGTCAGTCTTGATTGTAAGATTGTAAATAAATAATGTCATACATGCATGCAATATCAAGCAATTAAAATAATTCTGTTCCTGACTTTTAACTTGCTTTCTCATATTCTCTTCATGATACTTTAGAGCAGTTGAATGATGCCTTTAACACATTGTAAATATTTTCTTTCAGGTCATAAAGGATCTACTGATGATGTCTTTCTTCAATGAATTACTTGACATATGAAATGGGGGAAAAGGCACTATCTATAACAATCTACAATAAGTTAAAAAGAAACTAAGACAAGGCAATATAGTTTATCCTTTATCAGTTCTTAACACACTGGACTACAGACCACATTTAATTGCATATTATCAGTCTATCAAGACAATGCGAAACAAAAAAAAGAAAACCTTTATCGCTTTTATTCACTGGAGAAAGAGAAACTCAAATCAGATGTATTCAAAGGAAACACACAACATACATATGTCAATATTGAATCAATGAAGATGGCAGTTGAAACAAACCATATACATCCATCGTGAATCAAGGAAGAAACTGGAAACCAACTTGTTTATATCTAAGAACTATGAAGAAGAAACTGGAAATAAATCAAAAAGTGTTTGTCTTCAATAAAAGAAGAAGAAAGTGGAAAGATATCAATTCAAGTTAATTTTAATCAACAAGTCAATATACATGATATATACATTTATCTAGTACTACTAACTGCCATCACAAAAGATGAGCACAGGGCTATAAAGAAATTGGAACTAAAGCAATGTGCCGTATTTATTATTAAATGCAGCTGTAAAGCTATGAATGAAGCTGCAAATGAAAAAAACAACACTTTTTGTCATACGTTTGTGTTAGAATCAACCAACTTTACAGTAATAACGATCAACATCACTAAATTATAGGAAAAATGATTCACATCACTGTATAGCTATGCACCTGGGACTTTGCATGTGGATTTTTTTCAGTTTTGTTACAGTTATTGCCATTGACTTACAGTAGTATAAATTTGCAATTTTCAACTTGTTTATGCATAGCTCAAAAAGTATTTCACTTGTATGCTTGAAAGTTAACAAGAATGTTGGTCAGCATGTGTTCTTATGCACCTTGGGGTTTGCTTGTGGATTTATTCAGTATTTGTAAAATTCTTGCCCTTTTACTTAGTAAAAGATTTTTAGTTTTCAAAAAAATATTTGACCTACAGTCCTAAGATTGACAGAACAGTGGCGCAGTGGGGGCACCCGTGTCCTATGGACACATTTCTAGTTTAGAAAGAAATTAAAGTGATTTTTAATTGGTAGAAATGCACAACATACTCAAAGTTCATAGGATATTAAAATAATTTGTATATGCATGTCAATGTTATCTGCAATCATGTTACTTTTAAGGAACACTTGAATTTGTTAAAAGTTTGACATTTATTAAAATAATCAAACATTGAACAGTTGTATTCAAGTTTTCTCTTCAACTGGCATACTTTCTTTAAGCGTATCTACATAGAGGAATTCTTTCAGGCATGTTATAAGATTGGGAACAATTAAAAGCACCTGTCACCATACATATGCCTGAAACAATATTTTCATTGATTTGGAATAAAATTGTAAGAGGCATGTCAAAATGAACATTTGAACCTACGAAAAACAACGAAATCAATGTTTTTGATAATTACTTTAATATTTTGCATTCAGTCCATTATAAGTTTTGAATACAAAAAGATATAGAAACAAGAGGGCCATGATGGCACTGAGTCGCTCACCTGAAATAACTGTTTTTCATTAAAAGATAAGACTACTTAAGAATGCTGAAGACAAAGTTTTGTGATCATCCATCAATTATTTCACTAGGAGATAATGTTCAAAGGTTTTTCTACTTTTAGCTTTAGCGGCCTGATAAAGTTAATATTATCTAACTTGATAAAACACAACCTAAGACTGCTCCAGACAAAAATTTGGTGATCATCCATCAATTATTTCAGTAGGAGATGATGTTTAATGATTTTTCTATTTTTAGCTTTAGCAGCCCCTAAAAGTGGCCAATCAATTTAATATGAGTAAACTTGATAAAACAGTACCTAAGAATGCTACAGACTAAATTTGTAAATCATCCATCAATTAGTTCTGTAGAAGGAGACGTTTAAAGGTATTTCTAAAGGAGCCAATCAAATTAAAATGGGAAAACTTGATAAAAGACTACCTAAGAATGCTAAAAGTTTGGTGATCATCCATCATTTAATTTAGTAGTAGATGTTTAATGTTTTTTCTTTTTTTAACTCTGTTGACCCCTAAAAAGGAGTCAATTTAAACGGTAGTGTGACTGTCACAAGGATGCTATAGACCAAATTTGAGGTAAATCTGCCCATCAGTTTCAGAGATGATTGTTGTCACATGACGCCGGAGTATCCCCCTTTGATACTAATAGCTCACCCTGAACCTTCGGTTCTGGCAGCAATGGCAGCCATCAGCCCGAAGAATAAGTACAAACCAGCATTTCTTTTCTTTCTTCTAAAAATATATATGACTAACAAATCCATATGATATCCCTCTAATATTAAGGAAATTTCTTTTTAACTTGTTTTTAAGCATAAAATAAAAAGAAAATTTCTTTCTTTTGTAAGATGAAATTTTATTATATCGGGTGAACTCGTCTTGAGAATACCATTTTAAAGCCCACTTGATGAAATAAAATTTCATCTTGCACAATAAACAAACAAATATTCTTTAGATATTTCATTCGTGAACACCAGCTGTCCTTTTTTCACTGCTGGCTACACCACTTGTGAAAATATTGCATCAGGTGTTCACTCAGTAAAATATATTCCAATCTTACATGCAAAACAAACAAATATCCTCTATGTAATCAAGTTTCAAAAAATGTGCTGGTGAAGTCCTGTTTTTGTAAAATTGATGCAATGGTCTCTAAAGCCTCTGTACTCCTTTTTTGTAGCTGGACACTCTCAAAAAGTAACTTTTTTTTTTCGTCCTTAACCCTCAAGCATTCTTCAGCCACCTTCAGTTTCTTCTCCTCTATTTCTACCATTCTGCTGGCAAGATCCACATCACAAACTGGAAAAGGAAATCACTTTGTATATAATAAATTTCTTTGACATATCCATATATCAAATTTGAGTTGAATATGTACAACTGTTTGGGAGATAATGAACAGAAATGAAAATTTCCTTTTTTTTTCAAACTTAAGGGGGCATTACTCGGCCAAAAATTATTGAACCATGACAAATTTTGAAATTGACCTGCAGTTTCTTATGATATATCCTTATGTCATTTGTGTTGAATGTGTGCAACCGCTAACAAGACAATGAATGAAAACTGATGATGATGGAAGGACGGAACGGGGTAACACTATATGCCCCAGCCATCTTATGGCGGGGGCATAAATAGAGAATATTGAAAAAGTGTAAATTCAATACTGAATTTATTGCACAAGTTGAATAAAGTTATATTATGCAAAACTCTATCAAGCATAATATTATTTAATTCACCCAGTTAAATAAATTCAGTAATGAACTTGCACGAATTTAATATTCTATTTATAACATACACGAAATAAATACCGCTTAAAGTGAAACAAGAGCACTGCTAGGCGGAGCATTATATGCCCGAAAGTGTTTTTTTTTTATATTAAGGATGAAGCACTTGTAAGTCATTACATAAATTAAATAAAGTATTATTCCTTCCAATAGCAATCCTCCTATAAACCTTGTTTTGACCCCAAATCAATAGGAGTCTTCTACCCAAAATGGACCATCATCCTATGAAGTCAGAATGTTGTGGGCCATATGAAACATAAGTTATGCTCTGGAAACTGTTTTCAGTTTTAAGGTGATAGTGACTTTGACCTTGTGACCCCAAAACCAATAGGGGTATTCTACCAAATATGGACAATCATCCTAAGAAGTCTGAATGATGTGGGCCAAATGAAACTTAAGTTATGCTCCGGAAACTGTTTACAGTTTTAAGGTGATAGTGACCTTGACCTTGTGACCCCAAAACCAATAGGGGTCTTCTACTCAATATGGGCAATCATCCTATGAAGTTTGAATGTTGTGGGCCAAATGGAACTTAAGTTATGCTCCGGAAACCAAATTGCTAACAGACGGACGGACGCCAGGGGTATAACATAATAATTATTTCGGGCATATAAAAAAAGCCTGCACAAATGTGTGATAAAAACATTGAAGTAGTCTTATTTAATGTTTATAAGAATACTTTAGTTACCTCTTTTTTTGGACTGTCCTTTAGGTACACTGTCATCTGCAATATATTGTTTAACATGAGCTTAGAAAAGGAAAAAAAAAAGTTACTATCAAAATCATGATACACATGAAGACCGAATGAGTTAAACATTTTTTTTGTTACATTGCCCAGAGATTAGGGTCATTAATTTTACTGAAAACACAAATCATTCATGATCCATCATTTGTAATTGTTTAATAAAATTTTCATAAAGACAACTGACATTTTTGTGCTCACAACAGTATTGTTATTATATTGATGTCTTTTTATGTATTTAAAGATATACTTCCCTATTCTGTGGATAAAATACTTTTTTGGCGGAAATTTTTTTAAATCTAGTAAATTCTTCCTGAAGAGGTCCAATTTTAACAAATCTCACATTATTGGTAATTTTGTTTTAGAAATTATCAAAAAATTATGACCTACTAGTTATGAAATTATCTAAAAATAATGTTATTAAAAAAAAAGAATTTATGTAACCTCATTCTATTTTTATAGTAATATAGTTACCTCTTTTTTTGGACTGTCCTTTAGGTACACTTTCATCTGTAATATAATAACATTTTGTCCAAAATAAGTACTTTGTTCAACCAAATTAAAATCATTAAAATGTACAATATGTTAAGACAAACATACAAATTAAGGTTGGCAATGACTTAGGCAAAGATATAAAGTTCACATTAAGCATAGAAGTAATTTGTCTGACATTATAAGGCTTATTAAGTCACAAATGCAGTGACACATGGATCTAACAAACGCTTACCTGGGTTGCCGGTGATGGAATGATTACAAATTACATCTGTGACGTTACCAACAGTATTTGTTCCTAAACAAGTATAAAATTTAAATCATTTTTTAAGTACACAATACTTATGATATAAAAACAGAACTGTTTCAAAAGTGTAATTAAAATGAATAAAAACTGTTTTGTTCATAATAAAATAAGGATATGCATCTAAAAGGCAAACAAGTGATGGATTTAATTTTTTCACAAACTTAGTTTTTGATACTCAATCAAATGTTTCTGTCATATGTAAAGGATAAAAAGAATACTAAAACAGTGACATTATTTTACACTTCACAATTTTCTTTATGACAAGGAACAAATATATTAATATCACAGATTTAAGTGTATATATTAATTTGATAGTTGCAGGAAAGTGAAGCTTAAATGTTTCCATATATGCAGCTTTTGATTCTTAATCAGTGAAAAAATGTTAAAGAAAAGACGCTATGCTAGATTCCAGTCAAATTAGTATAAACTTTAATTCATGAAATTTATGTAAATAAATCATACCTTCATCTGATGGGCCTGGTCTGCCAACTCTTACATTTTGATCAGCGTCTACAGCAATATAATCAAGGTATATGTCAGTGCAAGAAATACATATACTTGTAACTACTTTCATTTTTTAATTCACTTTGCAGATCTACAATGTATGTGCTTAGCACACTAGCCTTTGTGTCAGATAAATGCCAAAGCTGAGTCATGTTTACAAATATTTGAAACATATCGAATATAATTATCTTTTCTTTATTTATGACCTAATGTGCAAAGTAGTTTATTTACCAGATTTACATATGTGCTATTTTCATATATGCATACATATTATTAATTATAAAATTTAAGACCGGCTATATGGCCATAAATATACAGTTGTATGCAGAATAACCCTTGCATAGTAGCCATGTATATGGCCATATATAAACATGTCAGAAATATTTATAACGAATTTACAGCAAGCATCATTAATTGAAAAAAAAAGTGTTTGTTTTTTAAAATTGACATCAGCTGTGTATATAAAACTAGATATTAATCTGGATTATCTAATTAAAAATTTACAAAATGCAGAATTTAAAGAATTACCCTACACTGTGTTATTGTTAAAATACTAAATGATATATTTAAAGTAATAATTTTTCATGTACATTTTACATTTCTTTAATACCTTAAACAAATTTATGGAATGAAAAAAGAGCGATGTGATGATAAAATAATTGGCAAAAAGTAATGTGTCTTACCTTTCTCTATAGCATTCCCACTGTCTAAACCCCCACTTATTCCACTCACAGCACAATGGGGGATGGTGCTTAGAATCTTAAATAAGTGATAAAAAAATTCTTCATCCTTTTTCATATCCACATTTATAACAGATTCCAAGCAATCATGTCTATACATACATAAATGTAAAATGAACTATTATTGCTATTACAAAAAAAAATCATCCAATAGGGTGTTTTACCTTTGCACATGAAAAAAATATAATGTTCAAGGACTGTTTATATGGTCAAGGAATTTATAGATTTCAATATTTTAGTATAAGTAAACAACAAAGTTTTCCAATTAGCCTTTTGACTTTATAAAATTGAATACCTGAGAGTATGTATGTGATTTAATAAGATAATTTCATGCTTTAATGTCTTTATATTTTATTTCCTTGAATTAATTTATTACCCAGGAAATTAGAACCATCAAGTGCCTATTCTGTAATTTCATGCTAGCATTACTCATGTTAAGTATGCAATTTTAAAGTTCTTCAATTAAGGAATGCAGATAAAATATAGTGTACTCAGGCTAGTTGTTGTTCTTAACAATCAAACATTGTTCTGAAAGATCATTTTATGATGATGTCAGTGTTAAAAGAGGATGTACATGTATATCCGTGCAGTATCCCAACTGTTTTGTTGTAACAGTACTGATTTTAAAATACTTACAATTTCTTGCCATAAAGGCAGGTTTAAAGGGGGCTGCCCACCTCCAGTCCCGCATGCCTCCGACCTTCTCTTTGCCTCCTCTTTTTTTACAAGAGAAACCGCACACAACCATTTCTTTTTGCAATCTTCCACTGTCCTTTTTTCCTTTGGGGAAACAGCATTAACTCTGAAACAAGATCCGGACCTTTAACTTTTATATTTAAGTACCAGAAATAATTTGGTCTTTTCTTCTTTTTTTTTGGCTTCTAGGGGAATGGTGGAAGGGCTCAACGCGAGAATAAATCATTTTGTGGCTGTGCCAGGAAAAAAAAAAGTTAAAAAGAATTACACAGAAGCCTAATAAACACTATGTTACATGTTAAGTTGCAAATTGTTGTAACATGTAAACATTTCAGCACAGTGGGTTCACTGACCGCATAAACTAGCCATACCCTATTACTTGTATTACTTACAAAAGATTAGGTAATATGGCCCTTTTACTGACAGCTGTTTGATTATATTGCAAATAGCAATTTTAAGTTCTATGTTCATGAGATTTTGCCAATTAGTGACCTTTACATAACCCTAAAATAGTTATGAAATATACTTTGATCTTTATACAAAAATCTTTTTATTTTATTAAATATTGGACATTTGATAATTGATATATATGTACTTCCAAGCTTTTGCCTTAGAATTACTGTCTTTCAGGGAAGTCTCAATCTTGCAAGCTGGAAATGACCTGTCTTGGAAATTATGCTACTCAGGAGATAGTAATAAAGCCTCTTAGTAGATTTGTATGTAATTGAACTTGAATTTGTTAATGTTTTGTTTTTGTTTTTTCATGACCATGGTTTTAGCTTGATGTAATGATGTAAATACTGTACTGATTAATTTATTGTGCTAACATATGGATAGACCAAACCGTTTTGATGGAGTTTGTTGACAAATTGTCTTATTTGTATTTGAAAAAAAAATTGTTTAAATGATTGTGATACATGTGATCTCATGTGATACCTAATTATATTCTATTAAGATATAAATTTCTCTTGTTTTCTTTTAAATGAAAATTTTAAATTTGACTAAAAATGAAAGTTGTTCTAAAAGTTATTATCATATTCACTATAAGTATATAATTGGCCATAATTAATATACCATCTCTTTTTAAAGTAAAAAATAAAAGGAAGACTTATTTTAGTATTAGTTTGTAAAAAAATAGGTCTAGTACATCCCTAACCCAAAGTCCCGTGTATAGCACTGATACATGTGAGGATTACCTGTATGTATTACCGGTACAACTTGAGGCAGAAAACACTAATATATTGTGTCTCTGAAAAAAAACAACCAAGGGTGATACACAGGTTCGAATCCGGGACCTCTGGAGTGACTGACAGTCAGTGGTCTTACCAACAGAGCTATAGCGCCACCTCATAATGCTTAAACATAATTCTGTTATTTATATTATATAACTCTCACAGGTAAATTTAACTTACCTTTCACTTAGCCAGTTCTATTTACAAGCTGTTTAAAATTCAACATGTCGCTGTTTGTGTATGCTGACAAGTGGTATTTTGGTAGATTACATAATTTACCCTCTGGATCACAAAAGTAAACCACAAAGTTGAATATTATAAGATCATAATTCAGCCACTGCAACGTTCCTGGACAGGTCACGTAGTCCAATATATCAGACGTTACATGCTTGTTATAGTTTATGTTTTTGCTTTGCCCAGAAGCAAAACTATCTGAATGCAGCGTCATGTTTATAGGACTAGTTGTCAAGCAGTACAGAAAAGTACCAGTACTAGTTGCCTTCAGATTTACGCTTCCAAAACAAACTTGTAGTATATCTTATTTATAAATTATATGCTAGAGGATTACATGTTTGATCACAACAAAGTGTCCTCGGCACGATATGGCCAGTTATGTGTTGACGT